GCTGGTCGCGCATAGGGCTAGTGCGCGAGGGACTCGGATCGGCAGAACAAAAAGCCGAGCAACACGAGTAGAGCAGAAAAAGGATCGATAAATCAACACAATCAATACAATCAATCAATCATCCCATACATCATATCCAAACCCATCATTCATCTCAGGAAGCCCAGAAACAGTGCTTCAATCTGACAAGCCCATAACAACCCGCTCTAGCAATATAGAGTAGAGTATAGCCTAGAATATTATTTAGATACTAATTCTACTTCTTGCTTACACATTTGCGCGTTATGCCTAGTCTAATTGCACTGTCCGCAGCGCCTTTAGGATTGCTTACCTACTTCAGCTTACACTTGCTTCTTTGCCTTCTTCCTGTCACTGCGCGCCTTAACCTCCTTTAGAGCTGTTAAGCGCAGGCCTTTCTAAATGTAGCTGCCTTATTAGCTGCTTAAAGCTTAGTAATTTCCTATTACGCTAACACTAGCTTATGTACAATTATTGCTGCCCTTTGTAAGGCTTTTTTTCTAGAGGCATTACTCCTCTATAACCCTCTCTAGATGTAGAGCTACTTGCAACACAACTAATATCTACTAGGGATTGCTGCCTGCTGCTGTAATCTACTGTAGTTTGCTGCAATTTGCTATAGTTTGCCGTAATTTGCTGTAATTTGCTATAATTTGCCGTAATTTGCCGTAATTTGCCGTAATTTGCTGTAGTTTACTGTAGTTTACTGTAGTTTGCTGTAGTTTGCTGCAATTTGCTGCAATTTGCTTTATGCATTTCTTAACGCTAGTAGGTAATCTCTTACTAATACCTCTAGACATTAGTCTATTATATTTAAACAATAGTTAAAGAAGCTAAACTAGCAGTTGTGCAAGCAAAACAGCTTGTTAAGGTATTACATATACTACATTAATCTTTGCAGCGATAGGGAGGCAGAGGCAGAGGCAGAGGCAGAGGCAGCAGTAGAGCTCCCTAGCACTCTAAGAAATTCCTGCAGAGTGTAATAAGGTAGGCGCTCCGCCTGCCAAGCCGATACTATACGACTTTCCCTACTATACTAAAAGGTACGCACGAGAATACTTAAGCTAAGTATTCTCGCATAGTATAATATATATATAGGTAATGCTAGGGTAAGCACTAGCACTAGCGGTTGTCTCTAGCCTAGCCTAAACCTCTATAAGCGAGAGAAGGCCACTGTTACAGCCAACAGACAAACCGCAATCATCTAATCGGCAGTACCCCACAGCCTAAGTGATAACGGTTGGACAACTCTTAACCCTGTCCTAGATAAATCACGTGACTAGCTAAATAAGGAATAGCTTTAGCTTTTAGACAGATGTATAGAGGAATGCACTGTCTAATAGGACCCTAGCATGGCAGGCCACGCAGGCCTTGCAGGTAGAACTAAAGCTGCATGCAACGCTTGCAACGCATGCAAACCTTATGTATATAGTTTTAATTACAACTATAGTTAGAAGGCTATAATTACTATTTAGTTTATCTCTATAATAGACTAAAAGGCATTAATATCTTTTTAAAGAGGATATTGCTGCCTTGTATATCTTGCACTATATATACCTTCTATCTTATCTTTTTAGATTAGTTTACTAGCTCTCTATACAGCTGCTAGGTTAAACCACAACCTGCCTTCCTTAACAACGTATAACCTTGCACTCTGCCGGACGGACTGTACACCCGATCCAGCTAAGTTCTACCCCCTCTCCCTGACATAACCACAGGCTGTCGTGCTCCCGAAGATACCATTTTGTCGGAGCAAGGATTGTAACAGCCACGTGGTTGACTGTGCCGACCTTGTTACACAGAGGCAACAAACTACACAAGCTGCAGCTCTACAACTAGGGCTTTAATGCTTAAATAATTAAATTAAAGATATTAGGTAGCAGTATTAAGCATAGCGTGGCAGTATTAGGCGGTGAAAGGAACAGGCGCAACGTGTAACAAGGTAGGCACAGTTAACCACGTGGCCTTCTCTCGCTTATAGAGGTTTAGGCTAGACTAGAGACAACTGCTAGTGCTAGTGCTAGCCCTAGCAGTATCTATATATATATTATACTATGCGAGAATACTTAGCTTATGTATTCTTGTGCGTACCTTTTAGTACAGTAGGGAAAGTTGTATAGTATTAGCTTAGCAGGCAGGGCGTCTACCTTATTACACAACGCTAGAGACCGCAAGGTGCGAGGAAGAGGATGTGAGAGGTATTAAGCAGGAAACACAGGTCACAGAGAGGGAATGCAAGATAGAGGGGTAATAAGAGAGAGTAAACCTTAGGGTTAGAGGCAGAGGTACAGAGGCTAAGGAGTTTATATACCCTGTGCTAAGCCCTTAGGGTACTTAGAGGTTAGATAGCTGTAACATAACTGTGACAAAGGAAGACTATTGTAAGAGCAGGAACGCGTTAAAAGCTAGAGCTAGAACGTATTCTCTTAATTACAGCTAATAATTAACTAATTTCTAAATAACTAGTTTTAAATTTACATAAACTTTAAGTTTTTAAAAAAGAACTTTTACTAACTTAATTAAAGCTAAGAATTAGCTAGCTATTATTTACTTTTTTAGCTATATTAGTGTGTTAGTAATTAGTTACATGCTATAGTTAAATGTTGTTATTATACATCTATTACCTATTTAATACTACTTTGCTAAGCATTCTGCTGTAACTATTCTTTAACCTAAACAACTTACTTTAATGCGCTAACTATTACTGTTGTGTAAGAAGAGCACAGGGACCTAGCGTCGCACACATAGGCCTAGTGTCGCGCCTGTGTTTTAGACAAGCAGCCTAAGACACTTAGCGTCTAAGCTCTCTATAAGCTTCTTATAGTTAATAGACTTACTCTTTATTACTCTCTAATTAGTAGTTGTAACAATTACTCTAAGCAAGCTTTACTTTTACAGATTATTTATAAACTGTTGTAGTATTTTACTTATTATTTATACATTCCTTGCGCTTTTAACTAGAGCCTGTAGAGCTTTAAAGCCTAGGTGTTCTATGCACGCATGCTAGAGCTCTTCTAAGTCTAAGCAGAAAAATATAGTTTATAAGTGTTAGCATTTTAAAAGCACACTTTACACTAGTAAGTAAAAAAAAACAACTTTATATTTAATAAACATAAAGTTGTGTTTTTAGTAAAGTGTTATAAGTACTTTATTCTTTTTTAGCATGCTTATGCATAGTGTATAGTTAAGTTTTAAATACTATAGTTCTTTTTTTTATTTAAATAAGCTTCTAAGATAATATTAACATAAAATCTTTTTACTATAACTACTTTTTATAGTGTAAGATTTTCTATACGCTTTTTTTATACTTTATTTAATACTTTTTTAAGCTTTTTAGTTTCTGTTTTTTAAATTAAGAATAACTAAGTGCTTACTTTTACTATATGTAAACTTTAAGCTTTTTTAAATAACTTAAGTATAAGTAGCTTTATACTATTTACTAAGTGCGTAGTACTTTTATTATTTAAAATTATACTTATAAAAAGTAAGTAAGTATTAAAATTTATAGTTATATGCATTTTTAGTTTTACTAAAAGCGCTAAGTTAATAAGTGCAGTAATAATGCTTTTTAAAAATGCTAGCTTATTTAATCTTTTAATAGCTTTTAGAGTAGAGAAAGCTTTATCTAGAATTATATAGCCTTTTTTAAGCAGTATAGCTTTTACTTCTTTATACTACACTTACTTAAGCTTTTTAAAGATCTTCTAGTGTACAGTTTTACTAAGTGTTTTTAGCTTTTTAGTAAGTGCTAACCTAAGGTCTCTGCAGTCTACTGCTTTTTATAAATAAAAGAATTACTTTAAAGCTCTATATAGGCACAAGTAGCCTAATTAGGCTAAAATAAATTAGGCTAA